GCTCATAACTAAATTGGTATAATCTTGCAAATAGAAATAGCTAGAAATGATATTAGGAGAGAGAGAGAGAGAGAGAGAGAGAGAGAGAGAGAGAGAGAGAAGAGAGAGAGTGAGAGAGAGAAAAATTATTTGTTAATATATTATATGATTAATATATTAACTGGATATAGATAATTGATCTGCTAATTTGTTACGTGATTAATAAATTAACATGAGATCAAGGTTAAATAATTGATTTGTTAATTTATATGGTTAATAAATTAATAAGAAATCAATTAGAATTAATTAATTATTAATTAGAGTAAATCAGGAATTAATATATGATTAATTGGAATTAATTAAAGGTGCAATGGGTGAATTGTAATTGTTCAATATTTGAACAAAAGAAATAATTCTAGAACCCTTCATGGCATGGACGATTTTGGAGGCTCTTCTAAGGTTTCTGGAAACCTCCTGGACGCAAATAAAAAAATGATTTAAATTGAGATTAAATTTATTATTTAATTAATTCAAATCTTGTTTTGTCTGCAAGTTACGTAAACTATAAATTGGACCTCTTGGCTCATTATTTTCGTTCACGACCTTCCTAAGAAACATAGGAACGAAATTTCTTCCTCTCCCCTCTCTCTCGTCAACATTCTAGGGTTTCTAGGGTTTTGAGTGTGAGCCATTAGAGGCATTAGATTTCTGGTGCTTGCTTTCCAAGCTTTTCAAGAAGGAATTTTGTTTGGTTATTTACTATAATAATCAAAAGGTATGTAAACCCTAACTCTATATTTATTTCGATTATTATAGAGTTCCTTTAAAAAGTTCTTGATGTCCATAGTTTATTGCTATCAATAGAGAAAACATAGATCCAAATAGGTTGGATATGAACTTAAGAGTTAAGTTATTTTTCCGCCTCATGTAAAAATTTATAACATATAAGACACATTAGTTATGAACGTACAAACTGAAACCCAACAATTGGATGAGGGTATCTAGTTAAATCAAGGTGAGATGACTCAACTCATGTTATCGGGAACTCGAAAGGGAAACATTAAGAAGTCTTGGTTGATTCCATATTGTAAGGCTGGTGAGTATGGGTCATCATTTCCATATTAAAATTTTGCCATATCATATACCACATTAACAACAACACCATATCATTTTTCTAAGGAAATACCCGCTAGACCACTTTATAGGTAATATATATATATATATATATATATATATATATATATATATATATATATATATATATATATATATAATCCAACAACTCACATCTACAAAAAAAGCTTGGCGGACCGCTTTTTTTGTTGAGAGGTGTTGAGCAGGAAACGAGCAGCAATACTGCGTTTTAGGAGGGGAGGTGTTTGAGTTGGCTCCATGCAATTGTGGAGGGCTAGAGTCAGCCTCCCAACGATGTTAGTGTAGCGATACCGAGCTCTCTAATGGTAGTAGGTTCATATGATCGATATTAACATGGCTGGATTCACCCTTCTAAGAATGTGGTCACATGTCCCCTACGGATTTTTTAGAACTTTCATTTCCACTGGTAACAATTAACTAATCTTAATAGATAGCATGTGAGACCCTTAATGGTTGGCTTGACCAACAACTAAACAAAGAAAAAGAAAGGCAAGCTAAGTGGTAGATAATTGACAATTAGATGATAATATTTAAGTAGGTTTCCTTTTACTATTGTATAGCAATTAGTTCCCTATTAATGTTTATAAGTAAATTAGGATTTATGATAATTATCGGTCTATATTAGTAATAATTTTAATTAAACCTATTAATTGGAACGGTTATTGAATTAAAATATTCTTGGTTGTTCAATAAAAAAATGAAACGATTATTTGACGATGATTTTACTTAATTTCCTATTTATAAACCAATTAAGGTCCTAACGATTAACTATATTTAGTAATCAATATTTGTAGTTGGCTCAATAAGAGACCTAGTAAGTATAAAACATTAGGTGTTTCATTGTATTATGTGACTACAATTATGTAACTGCAAACATCATGTGTTTTCAATCTAATATGAAATAATCGTTAATACAAAACATAGTTTTAATGCATGGTGAACCAATTATATTTCTATTGGTTAAACTGATCACGTTGAACCCGATTTTCTCTTGAACCCAATTTTCTTTTGAACCGGCTTGATTGAACCTGGTTAGGAACCATGTCGTTTTCTATTCTAATTTTGCTACTAGTTTCATCCAACCCAATTATTTTGACTATTTGACCCGATTCATTCATATAGTCTATTGATAGTGCCTCCAATGAAGAAAATTTCTAGATCCGCCACCAATGATGCATGACCCATCTGTTTATATTATTATTTGTCTCTTCGAGCTTCTTAGATCAGCTTCAGCTATTAAGGTCTGTTCCTACGATTTAGTTGACATTACGGTAACCAGAACCGCATAACCCGATTCGGCCAAGTAAGCTCTACTAGTTTCATTCCCTTAACGGGCATTTAGAACCGAATAAGCTCTTATTTGGGTAACCTAAAGCGAATAAACCGAAAACCGAAAAAGCATAATATAGATACCCGAAACCCTATTCGAATTGCTTATTTGGGCCTAATTCGGTTCTGTTCGGTTAGGGATGAGAATTTGACCCGAAAACTTGAACTAAACCGAAACCCAAACCAAACCGAACAAAATTAGGCCCGATAGGCAATTCAATTCGGGTTTCGGGTATCTATATTATGCTTATTCGATTCTCGGGTTATTCGGTTCGTATTACCCAAATAAGAGCTTATTTGGTTCTAAATATCTGACCCGAATAAGCATTCCTTCTCCCCTTTCTCTGATCGAAAAAAGTCAAAATCATGATTCACATTTTTGTCCTTGTCATTCATAACAGAAAAAAAAACCCTTCACTCATTCTCGTCGTTTCAAAATCGACCAATCTTCTCATCTATTTCCAAACTCGAAATCACTTTTTTCGATCCTTCCTCTTGTTTCAAACTTTCAAAAATCGACATTTCCTATTGTCTCTAAGGATTCATGAATTCCTACTTTGTCTAGTAATGAAAAATTGGACTCCAACTCAAGTAAGAAATTAATTCTCATTATGTTAATCTACTATGTAAATATTATTATTTCAATGTGTTATTGTGTTATATTAGTCTTTGAATGTTTTATGTTGATATATAAAAGTACATTATTATTATATTATATTCGGGTTATAGAATCCTAATACGGTTTATTCGGTTTTTTTTTTGTTATATTAGATCCTTAATCATCTTGTACATGTTATTCGGGTAATAACCGAACCGAATCGATTAATACCCGAACCGAACCGAACCCGTATTGGTTAATCGGTTCGGTTTTCGGTTCATGCAATTACCCTTATTCGGTTTTCGGGTTATTCGGGTTTGGTTCGGTTCGGTTCGATTCCGACCCGAATAACATCCCTACATTGTACTAGCCTCTCGCTATACTTTAATAAAAAAAAGTCCTCTTGTTGTCCAAAAAAAAAAAACTATTTGCTTGACTTAGGCAATTTAATGCGAGTTATACTTAATTTAAAAATAATTGCAGAGATGTATATTAATTAACAAGAATTCTTACTATTCTTACTACTTTTGCAAGTACATGCTATTACTTAACCAATGATTGTTAGAGCACATGCTAATTTCATAATATTTGGTTGTTAGAGAGAGAGAGAGAGAGAGCGAGTGCAAAGATGTAGATCTATACCAACGGCGGATTCATCGGTGTTGGTTCTTGGACTTACCAACAAACCCCTTATGAATTCGGATAGACACACATTTTCATAAATAAATTACCATATAATAACTAACCTAAGGTTGTTAGAGCACATGCTGGATTTATAATACACATTTGGCACGCTGGCAAGCTGCAACTGAGTAGTATGCAGATAAACCATATCGTATAGTTGACTATTATGTAACGTTTACATATTGAACGTTCTATATATTCTAAAATACATTACTAGCTTTGCTTACCAAAAATAGAAGCCAATCCGCTCTTCCAAACACTTCAACTTCAATTCTTCCGAGGTCTTAGTCTTGTTTCTTGATCTATAGCTTTTCTCAATCCATCCGATTAGAATTGCTAGGGAATTTTCACTTCTCTTTCACATTTGTAGTCAACCACAAACACAAATTCTTTTTTCATGAAAGAGTTTGAGCACCTCAGAATTCCAATTGAAATCATTAAACATGCCACCAACAACTTTGGTGATCGCAACTTTGTTGCACAAGGTGGTTTTGGCAAGGTATATAAAGGAGTATTCGTCCACTCTAAGGGTCAGACCGAGGGTGCTGTCAAGCGCTTGGATCGTTCGATAGATCAGGCAGATGCTTCGTTTTGGAGAGAGGTCATGTTTCTTTCCAGTTATAAACATGAAAATATTATCTCACTCCTAGGCATCTGTTATGACAATGATGAAAGAATCATCGTGTGCGAGTATGCATCGAATAAAAGCCTTGACTTTTGTCTACGTGACCCCAACCTCAAGTGGATTCAACGTCTCAAGATATGCCTTGGGGCTGCTTGTGGCTTGGAGTACCTTCATGATCACAAAGATACCCAACAAAGAGTCCTCCACCGTGATATTAAGAGTGCCAACATTTTGTTAGACGAAAACTTGAATGCTAAAATTGCAGATTTTGGTCTATCCAAATATGGCCCTGCTAACCAACAACACACGTTTATTTTCTCAGATGCCAAAGGTACTATTGGCTATTGTGACCCTATGTATGTAGAGACTGGGTTATTAACAAAGGAATCAGACGTCTACTCTTTCGGGGTTGTACTCTTTGAAGTTTTATGCTCAAGACATTGTGTTGATTTAAGATATAAGGATGAGCGCCGAATTCTACCAATGTTGGTAAAGAAGTGTCAAAAACAACAAACACTACATACAATTATCGATGTTAGGCTAAGGCAACAATTCGATCAACATTCTTTTGATATGTTTGTATCACTTGCATATCAATGTTTGGAAAGAGATCGGACTCATCGCCCGTTAATGATTTCGGTCGTGAGCAAGCTTAAAACTGCACTCCAATATCAAGTATGTTAATATTTTATTTCTTTCTGTTCACTTTTTTATCATCTTAATATGTTCTTTTCAGTATGATTTGAAGAAAACTAGAAAGAGAAAGATGTGTCCGAAACAAAAGATTATATTCTTTTACGGTTGTATATATTATATCAGAAATCTAAATAATACAGCCTAATTATGACCTACTAAATTCGTGAATGATATAGTTATCTAAAAGAAAAATCAAAATTATTTTCAAATTATCATCCTCGTTGACTATCCCTTTGCGGAGATCCATTAAAGTTTCTAAAATGAAAATTTTGCGGGGATGTTTACTTGCACTGTAAAAGATAATTATTTTGCATGGTTGTTTAATTGTTTAAACCTGATCAATCGCTTTTGTGCAGGAGGCATTCGAGGTTAAAGCTCAAGAAGCAAAGAGGAAAATCAGATTTTTACAGAACAACATAGACCAATTATACCAAGAACCAGAAGCGTCATTAAAAAATGTCGTTGTTAATCCCCTTCTGGATTATGAGAAAATCTGTCCACCCGGGGGAAGCAATTTGATAATTCTGTACACAACCACAGTCAAAACCATCCCAAAGACATTCCAAGATTGCTCGAGTCTTCGACTTATTCTCAATGGTTTTAAGGTTTTATACCAAGAAAGAGATGTATCGATGCACGTCGATTTCAGAGATGAACTATGGCGGATTATGGGCAAGAAAGTGGCCCTGCCAAGGCTGTTTATCAAAGGCAGTTACATTGGAGGAGCTGATGAGGTTTTACAGTTGCATGAGCAAGGGAAATTCCGGCCCCTCCTCGCTGGAATACCAATAAAAAAATTGGAAGGGCCATGCAAAGGATGTGCTGGGAATTTGTTTCTGGTGTGTCCTAATTGTAGCGGTAGCAAGAAGGTGAATTCTGGTAGCAGAGGGTTGCCAAAGAGCTGCATGAACTGTAACGAGAATGGGCTGATTAAATGCCCTATTTGCTTCTGAAATTTTTGTTCATTAACAAATGACAAAATGTGATTTCAATATTTTTATGTCATTCATCCGCCCTTTTGATTTGGTTGTGTTTTGATTTTAGTTTTGATTCGTTTCTAAAAAATAAACGATTCACAATTCTGTGAATTTTAGATAAAATTACTATATTATCTTTTTTGTAGTACGTACATGATATAAGTCATTTTTCATATTTAATGTATATTGGCATATATGTTGAGTAGAATTAAGATTATATAACTATGATATCATGGTATATAATAAAAAGCGACCTCATAATGAATAGTATGATTTTATGTTTTCATAATTTGACCATAAAAATTTCTTATTTCATATTTTAGCCAAAAAAAAATTTCATATTTACTCCACAAAAGTTTCTTATGTTGATAGATTTGGTCTCTAAACTTTCATACATTGGCAATTTTCTCACTATTATTTTGTAGAAAGGCATTTTCCACCCCTTACTTTGTAGAATGACACTTTTCAGCTGTTTACTTTGTACAATGTCACTTTTACCCCCTTAAAGTTGAATGGCAATTTTCACGACTTCAACTTTTGTATATTGTCATATTTGAACGACAAAACGATAAAATGATGAACAGTAGTACTTCCCTTTTATGTGAGTAGAGTATAATAAGCAAAACCTCGTTTGCACCCCCACAAAGCGAGGATGTGCAATTTCTAGTTATAAATATATTGAAAGATGAAATGTTATAACAGTTATAATAATGATTGAATATAATCTTAAATTTATCTTGAACTTAATAATCTCAATAGCATTACCATTACAAGTAATAGCCGCTGTAGTGGCGATATAGCTAATAGATCGTGTCGCTGCTAATGTCTTTTAACCCTGATCCGTGTAATTGATAATTGATAATGGTCATACCTATTCGTTGATTAAACATGTCGATCTGACGGTTAATATTCGCTTCGTGTAACCTATTTGTGGTGACGTCAATAGACTCGACATTTGTTCCCGCTAATGCTGAAAAATATGACCGTAAAATATTATCTCCTTATTTACAAATTTATCGCCGCTAAAAACTTCTTCCTTTAGATCCTCTTTTTCACTCTTTTCTCGATTTGAGACCTATCTCACACCTCTCTGTACTCTCTGTCGATTTAGAGCATATTATAGCTTTTATCAGCAGCTTATACCAAGCAACACCACCACACAACCAACGAACATCCCCACAGCCTCCTGCCACCACCATATTCCACCACCATCACCTTCAACCACCAACCTCCATTCTCTACCATCGGTTTTTGTTTATCTCCGACGACGATTAACACCGAGGAACATTATCTGCCACCTGTCATCTCCGGTTTCAACCACCACCACCGATTGCCATACCTAACGAACTACCACTGTCTGCCTATCAAATATCACCACCTTATAGTTCTTAATTTTTTTTAATAAGCTAATGATTTGTCTTAATGTGCTTAATTGGAAAGTGCTTAATCAAGAATGCGTGTAATTTCATGATAATCAGCTTTGAAAGTGCTTAATATGTTTAAAAAATGCTTAATGATGACATGTGACTGATTTAATGGATCACTATGCTTGGAATGTGCTAAATGATTTGTTAAGTACTTAATTGTTAAATCCTTAATGATGTTATTATGTGTTTGATGATATAAGTTGGTTTGAAATTGCTTAATATGTTGGGAAAATGCTTAATCAAGATATGCTACAAATTTAACATATTAATAGGCTTGGAAAATGCTAAATGATTTGTTAAGGACTTTATTGACGAGTACTTAATCGTTAAGAACTTACTTGTTAAGGACTAAATTTTTTTAAATTGATACAGTCTATACACACTAGTTTTTATGCAAAAAAAAATCAAATAAATAACCATGTGTATACATTCGTCTTAACGATCTAGGTTTTTACTATAATAGCAATCTACTATCAAAATAACAAATTACTAATCTTTTGTTCTTCTTGACTTCTTGATTGAGATCTTGTCATAACCACACTTGCAAAATATGACAATGACCCAAACTAGGAATCCCTGTAGTGGAGTCACACCCAAAACACCAACTAGTATAAGGATCCTAAGGAGAAAGACTTATTTTGAAAATCTCAATAACCCTGTGAGGGTTATAAATGTTGTCTAAGGGAGAGAGAGAGAGAGAGAGAGAGAGAGAGAGAGAGAGAGAACGAGAGGGGGGGAGGTAGATGGTTTTCGAAAGCAAAATGAATCAACATGATTTGACCCGTAACAGTCTATATGTATAATCTCCAGTTGAATTCAAATTTCGAAGAATAATCCATATTTTTATTTGAATTAATGAATATCTTTTATCAATAGAAAAAAATGATCCCTTATATATACCGGGAGTTTCAAGAATATTCAATTTAATTACTAACTAATTAATTGATATTCAACCCACTTAATTAATTTAAACTGTTTAATTAATTCGAAAATAATTTCCAATTAATTTATTAATTCATAGTAAATTAACAACTTATTTTCTCCTAATTCTCTATTGCTTAATTGGTTTATGAAGATAACCCAAAATGATGCTACTTATTAGAAATATTACTAATTATTTAATAACCTTGGACACTCAATCCAACAATCTGACACTTAGAGAAGTCATTAACGATATGTGGTCCAATACATCCCTCATAATCAGCAGAGTGTGCCATCCAATGCAATGTCGAACTATGATCTAATCATGATTTAGTCCTTAGATAAGTGATCAATTATTCATTGGTTTTAGATATATGTATAAACCTAAGACATGATAAGGTCAATATTAATGTTCAAGATTATGTTTTCCAATAAAGATTTATGACGAATGTGTCTGACTTATAAACTGAACACATCAATCTCACTTAGGACCCAACTAGATACATTAGATGTTAACACCAAGTCATCGAGGGGCCCATATATCGCTTCTCCTGTTACGTCAGAAGGAGCAGACCAGTGCACAACAAATTTGTTAGGAAGTAATATAAATAACAAGCAAAACCAAAAGCACATAAGACACAATATTTGTGTGGTTCGGTCAGGTGACCTATGTCTAGTGGTGTAAGTGAACCGAGCTACTCGGGATCGACTCGTTAAAAGCTCGACTCGGGATCAAATTAAACGAGCCTGAGCTGAGCTCGAGCCTAAATATGAGGCTCGTTTATTAAACGAGCTCGAGCCGAGCTTCAATTCATGGGCTCGCGAGCCTAAACGAGCTTAAACGAGCCTATATATATATATATATATATATATATATACACATACATACATACATACATACATACATACATATACACACACACATATATATATATATATATATATATATATATATAATATATATATATATATATATATATATATAGATATATATATATATATATATATATATATATATAGAGAGAGAGAGAGAGAGAGGCTCGTTTAGGCTCGATTAGGCTCGCGAGCCCACTAATTTGTTTACGAGCCGAGCTCGAGCTTCATTTTAAAGCTCGAATCGAGCTCGAGCTTCCTCAAAATTAAACGAGCCGAGCTCGAGCTTGGTCTGGCTCGGGCTCGGCTCGGCTCGTTTACACCCCTACCTATGTGGATGGGTAGCAGGGGAGTATTCTTTATTTATGAGCTCTCAAATAGAGGTTACAAATACCATTCAACAAATATTTTCCTATCACTCTAGAATCATGTCACATTTAAAATCACTTAGCATGCATCCCTATTTATAGATTACGGATCATACCTACAACCTTAATACGCCAACCCATTAATTTATAGTCCGATGAAAGGTGTCAACCAATTATAATCCACCATGCAGCTGCTTTTGGAACTTTCATCCTTGAGAGACATTGCATTGACATCAACAATGCACGACTAGCACATCAGATGTCATTACATGGCATACCTTGTCACTTAGTGGAACCTTCTTTCACTCTTGGCACCTCTAGTGCATGACATATTGTCGTGGTGCCATAATGACACCTCAGTGTAATATTGAGTGGCACCTTCATAATTGGTGACACATCCTGTACATGGAACGTCTTCGAGGTGTCATTCTCTTGTTGAGGTGCCATTAAGTCGCACCCCCTATCACTTCCTGGCACCTCATATGTATTACAGTTCTTCTAATGTGTCATCTCATCCAAGTGTGTCGTTGCTTCCAATTGTGCCATTGTATCCAAGTGTAACATCGCATCCAAGTGTGCCATTAGAATGCTCCAAATGATCTAGTTACGTTTAACATGATTTATAAAGCAAAAACCTACATGCATCTTGGTTTGTGTTGAAAATGGTGTCCAAGGTCTTTAACTGCTTATGTAATATTTCTAATAATAGTAGGGTGTATTTAGGGCGGCCTCATAACCGAAATAGCTATAAGGAAATGGACAAAAATAAGTTATTAATTTATTATATAATTAATAAATTAATTAGAAATTATTTAGGTAATTAATTAAATTGTCTTAACTAATTAAAGAGCTTAAATATTAATTTTCTAGAAGCTCCTACAGACCTGATATGGACGGTTTTGAGATGCTCTAGATAGGGATGATGCAGGTTTTCAATCAGATAATGATTATCATGAAGAGTTTGAGTCTCTTAAGGATTTATCTATTGCTTATAAATAGACTGCTAGGGGTCAAACCTTAATTGTTGATTTCCTTTTATAATTCGACTAAGCTCTCTCTCTCTCTACCCCCTCTCTCTCCCTCTCCCATTGAAAATTATAACCCCTCTCCTAGGGTTATAGAATTTTTAAAAAACTATTATTAGGGTTAATCCTTGTTAGCTTTTGGTGTTTAGGTCTGACTATATTGGAGGGATTCTAGTTCGGGGTCCTCCATCCAGTGCAAGTGCAAGCATTTACAAGGTCGTAATCGAAGAAACAACAAGATGTTAGTATTCTTTCTTTAATTTATTTTAAAGTTCGTTGCTATAAGTAATATAACCTAGATCTTAGGGTCATGTAAACTTAGGTAATTTTGTTTGTTTCTATTGTCAAGATTAAGTGTATTG